TCTAAATTTTAACAGGCCGTTTAGTGCGTCCTTTGCAACTTCATCAAGTTGCAGATGAAGTATAAGACCAATTTTGGATTATGCGCTGAATTAAAGGGAAGGTTGGCAACGCTAGCTAGCGACAAATACAGTTTCATGGCTCTAAAATAGCTTTGGAAGGGATTACACCTCACTGAGCGAACTCTATAGTTTTTGCCTTTGTTTGACTTTTCAAGTCCTTCTTCAGTCACGAGTAAGAATTTGTATATCACAAGAATATGGCAGTAACATTGTTTGAGAAATGACTTACGCGTGCAATGTTTTATTAATTTCCTCATACGTTTTGCCTTGAACGGTAATCAAAGCTGTACATTTGAAAATGAGTTCCGGAAAAATGAACTCAGGTTTGCCGATAGGTCGAATGGCCAATGTCCAAAATTTTAAAAACAAATCACCTTCAATATACACCGACGCCATCATGAGCTTAATGGTATGCACGTTTTTAAGCCACTCATTATGGTTATTGATTACCAAATTGAGATTCCCAGCCTACATTTACGAATGCGTCAATCATGTTTTGTCGACGTAACGTCTTGAATCATCTCATTGGCAGTACTCGACCAGACTATAACACATGGAAGTTGCGTTCAAGATGGTGGAGTTCTTTTTTGACGACTTCTAGTCGTTGAATTGTAGCGCCGTTAGGTTAACGTCCGGCGGCTGAGTGGTATGCGTCGATAGGGTCGTAAGATAAGTAACTTGATGGAGATCGGAAAGTGGCGGTCGAGGGTGGGAAAATTTGAGGCAGATAGTTGCTAGTGGATAGAGGAAGAAAAGTTGAGGGAAGATAGGCGATGAGCCGAGGATAAGAGGTTGAAGGGGATAGGAAGTTTGGGGCGAAATAGGACAAGTGGGATCGCAGGACTAGACGGGGGGATAGGGGTATGGTCGGGATTAGAAGGTGAGGGAGAAAGGGCCAGTAACCTCATCTGGGCCTCTGAAGTCTGAAACCCGAGGTCGGCAAAACTTATTGTCGTATTGCGTGCCAAAAGTATGCTCCGTTAAACACTTAAAACTGTCCTCGACCCACTGCCCTATCTCCATGACACACTGCCCGACCTCCCTCAACTTTCCTATCCTCGACCCTCTGCTCTTTCTCCCCAACTTTCACATTCTCGAACCACCGCTTTATCTCCCTCAACTCTCTCTTTTCGACTTACTGTCCTATCTCCCTCAACCTAGCTATCCTCAGACCCACTCCCCTATCTGCCACAACTTACTTATCTTTGACCTACGGTGCTATACTATTCGG